TTGTGCCAGCACTTTCAAAGGCCCAGGTGTCAAGATTGCTTGAGCGCAGGAGTTCCAGGCTGTAGTGAGCTATAATCCTGCCACTGGCTGACAGAGTGAGATACTGTGTCAAAATAATAATAATAATAGTAATAATAATAATAGGCTGGGTGTGGTTGCTCACACCTGTAATCCCAGCAGTGTGGGAAGCCAAGGCAGGCAGATAACCTGAGGTCAGGAGTTCGAGACCAGCCTGACCAATATGCTAAAACCCTATCTCTACTAAAAACACAAAAATTAGCCAGGCGTGGTGGCATGTGCCTGTAATCCCAGCTACTAGGGAGGCTGAGACAGGAGAATCACTTGAACCCAGGAGATGGAGGTTGCAGTGAGCCAAGATTGCGCCATTGCACTCCAGCCTGGGTAATAAGAGCGAAATCCATTTCACAATAATAATAATAATAATTTTAAAACTGTGGCATCAGCAACTCTATGCCAGGTGCCATTCTTTTTTTTTTTTTTGAGATAGAGTCTTGCTCTGTTGCCCAGGCTGGAGTGCAGTGGCATGATCTCGGCTCATTACAACCCCTGCCTCCCAGGTTCAAGCAATTCTCCTGCCTCAGCCTCCCGAGTAGCCAGGATTACAGGCACATAACACAATGACCAGCTAATTTTTTTGTATTTTTAGTAGAGACGGGGTTTCACCATGTTGGCCAGACTGGTCTTGATCCTCCCACCTCAGCCTCCCAAAGTACTGGGATTATAGGTGTGAGCCACCATGCCCAGCGATGCCAGGTGGCATTCTAAGCTCTGTACATGTATTGGCACATCTAACCATCAAAATAGCCCCATGAGGGTGGGACCGTTATGATCCTCATTTTAGAGATGAGGAAAACGAGGTTCAGAGAGATTGAGACACCTGCCCTAGGTCACAGAGCCAGGAAGTGACGACACTCAGGCTGTGCTTGCTCTGTTGTCTCACCTGTTCATCACTACCTGACGTCTGATCCAGGACTGTCCCCTCTCAGTCTCTCCCGCCCTTCCAGAGAACAGGATGCTTACTATCTCATTTAGAGCTGTGTGTCCCCAAGGACTAGACTAGTGGCTGAGGGTGATGGAACTTTTATCAGTACTTGTTTTCTTGTTGTTTTGTTGAGACCAGGTCTCGCTCTGTCGTTCAGGCTGGAGTTCAATGGTACAATCAAACCTTACTGCAGCCTTGGCCTCCCAGCTCAAGCGATCCTCCCACCTCAGCCTGCTGGGTAGCTGGGACCAGAGGGTAGCCCCCACCACGTCCACCTAAGTTTTGTTTACTTTTTTTTTTTTTTTTTGAGACAGAGTCTCGCTCCATCGCCCAGGCTGTCGTGCAGTGGCACAATCTCACTCACTGCAAGCTCCACCTCCTGCGTTCACGCCATTTTCCTGCCTCAGCCTCCTGAGTAGCTGGGATTACAGGCGCCCGCCACCACGCCCGGCTAATTTTTTGTATTTTTTTTTTTTT